ATAGCTCCGAACTGACTTAAAATATTTGCAAAAACTTCATTTATACTCTCCCTACTGCTGACATCACAGTACATGGTAGTAAATTGTGAACGTTTATCTTCTGGTAAATCATTGTGAAGTTTTTCCATTAACTCCTTACGTCTTGCCAGACCAATGACTTGCAGTCCAGCCATAACGAAATCCTTAGCAATGGCAACTCCAATGCCCGAACTAGCTCCCGTTATAACTGCGACTTTATTTTGCCAACGTTCCATAATTAAGACTAAATTCAAACTGTAAACAACTGCAGTATGAGTTGCAATTATTTATACAGCTATTTCAAATATTTTAAGACACATGTTTTAGTCGGATCAATATTATTTAAACAAAACAAAGTTTATGTTTGTATAACAAGAACAATTGAAAAATTTGCTAATAACCAAAATATATTTCATTAGACAAAAAAAAAAAAAAAAAATATATATAAAAAAATAAAAAAAATAATCGAAACAGAGCAGAGCATTTCAAGAAACGCAACTGAAAACAACAATCTATGACAAACAAATTTAAAATTCGTAAAAGAAAAATTAAACGATTTTTATAAAAATATATATATATTTTTTTAAATTTGGGACAGATCAAAACTTGTAATTTATTTTATTTGCAGTCCAAAATAAATATATTCATACTAAATATGTTCATACTGATGCAAAATGACGTGAATGCTATATCATTTAATTTTTAGCGTCATTTTTTTATTAATATTTTTTTTTCATACATATCTGTAATGATTTCGAATATTGTGACTATTTTCAAATATAAAAATAAATATAACCAGTAAGGAAAGTAGTAAAGTCGGACGGGGCCGACTGTATGATACCCTTCACCACTATGGGTATATTAAACAGGACTATTAACATGAAATTGGATGAAATAAAATATGTGATATTTATCTAAATGTGAATCTTCCTAGATCTATCCATAAAGTATGTAAATCGACTTCAAACAAATATAAATAGGTCATCCGTTGGGCTATGTCTGTACTTCTACAAAACGCAACTACATAATTCTATGCTCAATTTTGTAAGTTGCGCAAAATTTGATGTTAATCTGACTAACATGAGGAGCTATATAGACCGATTTTCTCGAAATTTGGCAGACATCACTCTAGGCTTAATTCACTACGATATGCCATATTTCGTCCAAATCGAAAGATATATAGGGACTTTGCGGCACCATTTACATGAAATCGGACGAAACTATATATGGGAGGTATATCTAAATCTGAACCGATTTCCTCAAACTTGGCAGACATCACTCTAGGCTCAATTCAGTACGTTATGCCAAATTTCGTGCAAACCGAAAGATATATAAGGACTTTGGTGCACAATTTACATGAAATCGGACGAAACTATATATGGGAGCTATATCTAAATCTGGACCGATTTTCACGAAACTTGGCATACATAATTCTAGGCTCAGTTCAGTACTTTATGCCAAATTTCGGGCAAATCGAAAGATATATAGGGACTTTGGTGCACCATTTACATGAAATCGGACGAAACTATATATGGGAGCTATATCTAAATCTGGACCGATTTTTCCCAATTTCAATAGGGTTCGTCCTTGGGCCGAATAAGTGACCTATGCCAAATTTCATCCAAATCGGATCATAAATGCGACTGGTACTTTGTTTACAATTTGACATGGACAGACAGACGGACGGACGGACGGACATGCATAAATCGACTAAGAAAGTGATTCTATGCATATTCTCCAAAGGAACCATGTGTCTATCTCGTTTCCTTTTGCCTGTTACAAACATATACACAAAGACATAATACCCTGTACCACAGTGTGGTGAAGGGTATAAAAATTAACTACAAAATACCACTGCCTCTGGTGACAAAATAAGTAACTCAAATATAAAAAAAAACTTTTATCTTTGTTTCTATCGTATTATAGCAAGTCACCCTAAAAGTATGCAACATTCGACGTTTATTGTTTTCTTATGTTGGGCAAAATATATAAATGGAATGATAATAGAACTAGGGAATGTGCTCTGTTGATAGAAACCTCCACAGAAGTTTTATACGTGAAATTGTTATTTTTTATACCCTCCACCCTAGTATGGAGGGTGTATTGGTTTTGTTTTTTCGTTTGTAGCATATGGAAATAATCATTATCGATCCTATATAGTATATAAATTCTTGATCCGCGTAAAATTCTATGACGATTTAAGCATGTCCGGGTATCGCCAAAATTTTGCACATGGTCATCTTTTGTTTGCAGGCAGGTCAATTTGGTACATTAGGTTCTTATTGGGTACCAAATTTCTCCACTAAAAATTATAAATATGGTCCCCAAAACCCCCATATAATGGTACCCCCAAATTTTCAGTATTCTGGTGGTTTTGTTAACGGAACAAAAAGGCCCTATATATCTTTCGATGTGCACGAATATCTGCATAGCGTACTTAATTAAGTCTAGAATGATGTGTGCTAAGTTTTGTGAAAATCGGTTCAGATTTAGATATTTTCTTCGGATTTTATATAAATTGTGTACCAAAGTCCTTATACAGTGATGATGTTTTTGAGATTTTACTATGAAAACACATTATTATTTTATATTTTTTTAAACAAAATGGTGAATTTATTTAAGGTATCGGATATCAAATACAAACCAAAAACATGGGGAAGTCATATGGTATGGGTGCATACTCGTACGAATGTAAGCTTCCACTTTGTGATGTGTCCACAAAAATAGATTCTGAAATGTATAATGAATTATTAGACGTTGTTTTAATAATACATATTGATCAAAAAGAGGACAAATATATAATTTTTCACCAGGATAACGCTTCCATCCAGCCTCGAAGCAAACAGAAACTTGGTTTTCTGACAAAAATATAAATATTTTAATACAGACGGCTTGCACTCCAGACACTCCTATTGAAAACTTATACGAGATTCCTGTGGCATAAGTGTAAGACTCGGCATAACGTTTTCTTTTGTAAATTACCTTAAATATGCTGCGAGGGAAAATTTGATATACTCTCTGTCAAACTGAATTCAATTATTAAAAATCAAATTTTGAATTTTTATTTTAAAATGAGCTGCGCTTAAACGAATGTCCTGGCAAAAATTATATCTTTAGATTTGCACGAATTTCTGCATAAATTAATTAAGTCTAGAATGATGTGTGCTAAGTTTCGTGAAAATTGATTCAGATTTAGAAATAGCTCCCATAAATTTTTTCCTCCGATTTTACGATTGATACACAATTTTGTACAATGAATTGAAGTTAATATAAATTAATCTCTAATTTTCGTAGAAATCGGTTAAGATTTTAGGTTAATGGTGCACCCAGTGACACGACATTTTGCACAACATATCGAATTGAGAATAGAATGACGTTATTACAATTTTGTTGAAATTGGTACAGTTTCAGACACAGCTGTATCTAAATGGGTGTCTGATTCAGATGAGATTTTGAAGATTGGAGCCTAACGAATAGACCGTGTACCGTGTATCAAGTCGATTTACTTTAAACTAGAATATATCCAAAGTGATGATCATATAGTCGGTCCAGACCGACTTTACTACTTTCCTTACTGGTTCCGGTTGGAAGAATAGGGTACAACTATTTAGGTGAGCATTTAAATTACCTAAAACGGTAGAAAAACTATACCACCTAGGCAGGATGAGGTCAGAATAGCAATCAATCGGCTGAAGAATAATAAAGCAGCAGGAGCCGATGGGTTACCAGCTGCACTATTCAAGACTGGTGGTTAGATGCTGGTCAGGAGCATGCACCAGCTGAATAGTACAATTTGGCTAGAGGAATGCATTGGAATCTCAGCATCCTGTATCCCGTGCACAAAAAATGAGACAAGACGATATATTAATATCCAGCTGGAAAAGGTCATACGAAACGCAAAGTGAACAGAAATGACACTCTGTACACCAAACAACACATATTACTCGCCTACGCCGATGACATCGATATAATGGGTCGAACATTGGAGCGGTAAGAGACACATTTTGAACAAATTGAGAAGGAGTCTGCCAAAGTGGGTCTGGCAGGATTTTGGATTCCTGTTTGGCAACAAATCTTCCTACGAAAAATCATTAATATTCATTGGGGTAGTGCCCAATTTTCACCGAATTTTTTCGCTGTTATGGGGATATTCTGAACTCAAAATATTCAGTGAATTTTAATCCTCATGGAGGATGTTAACTCGGTAAAAAGTTCTGGTGTACATGGCGTTTATAATTAATTAAATAACCTCCCCGCAGAAAATTCACAATGTAGATCCATGTTTTATATTTTGGAAATCAACTAATATGTTTTTGAGGAGTTTTTAAACGAATATCACAGACAGAATTTTAAAAGGCGTAATTTCTCCTAATCACTATGTTATAATTTATTCCATAACCTAACTTAACTTTGTTTTACTTTTAAAAGAAGGTAATATCTTAAAATTAATAACCTTATAGGTAGCATGTAACCGAATTACGATGACTGTATACATTCAGCTACATATGGGCTTGTGTGTGGTTTATTTCACTTGATCGAAATATTTTGACTTATGAAATGATAAATACCTTTTCGTGTTGTTAATTGTAGAAAAAATTGAGGCAGATGAGTTAATAATTGCACAGCTGAATTAACATATTCGATATGTCATTTCTTTTCGGTCGTTTTGAGTGAAAAAACAATAGCTTGTTTGGTGAATTTCAATTAGCAATTTCAAGGCTGTAGGCCATTTTTTTTATAAAAATATATTCGTAACGTTATTTGTCATGAAATGACCCCTCTCATTTTAACATTTCGTTGATCATGTTTTTTTACTTTAGACTCCGAAGATAAACGATTTGTTTAGAATTACATTTTAATTGTAGACAAAAACAAAAACTTTAAATCGATGACATAGGAAACATTTCGAAATGTTTTCAGTTCGTCTTCGATCAGCTATGCAAGCAGGTGGATCTTCGGTGGATATTTTAAATATTCTGGCTATGGAACGTTGGCAAAATAAAATCGCTGTGGTGACTGGTGCCAGTTCGGGCATTGGAGCAGCCGTTGTTAAAGATTTGGTTAATCATGGTCTGTTTGTCATTGGTTTAGCCCGGCGAGTTGAATGTGTGGAAGAATTGAAAAATCATTTGCCGGATGCAAAAAAATCTCACCTTGTGGCAATAAAATGTGATGTCTCCGATTTGGATTCGGTTAATCGGGCATTCGATGAAATTATTTCGAAATTTGGTGCCGTTGATATACTCATAAATAATGCTGGCTGTTTGAAGGGAGGACAATTGGTCAATATGGATGTTCGCGAAATGCAACAAATTCTCCAAACCAATGTCATGGGTGTTATCCATTGTACGCAGCGGGCATTTAAATCGATGAAGGAGAGAAATTTTAATGGTCATGTGGTCATAGTTAATAGTATTGCAGGCCACAAAGTCCCGATTTGTTCAGATCTTCCGGAATTTAATATTTATCCACCCAGCAAATTTGCCATCACGGCTATAACGGAACTTTTGCGTCAAGAATTTAAAGGATTGGGTACAAAGATTAAAGTTACGGTAGGTTAGATGATCTGATTGTTGTATGCATTGGAAATTATTCATTTTGTTTTTGTTTTTCTCTTAAAGAGCATTAGTCCTGGTGCTGTTGATACCGATATTATTCCTGATTTTATAAGAAATCATGCAAATGGCTCTTTGTTGAAAGCCGAGGATATATCATCTAGTATTGTGTATGCATTGTCAACACCACCTCATGTACAAATCCATGAACTGATGATTAAACCAGTTGGAGAAATGTTTTGATAATTGATATGTTATAAAATATTTTTTATATACATGTCAATAATTTTATTTACATGAGAGTAATTAATAATATATTATTCAATACGTATGATATTATTGAATAGAACCGTTTTTGGTCCATTTTGAGAAATTTTTTAGTGTTCTTTTAAAATGGTGATGTCGCGAAATGAGTTGAGATCGAGTTGGTAGAAAATTACTAATTCTACACTTTATAATAAAAACAATTAGAAAAACAGTGAAGTTCGACCAGGCCGAACATTCTACTTTCTATTTCTATTGCGTGTAGGTCATTGTAAATTTTCTGCTAGTAAGTTGTTTATAAGGGACAACGACAAACCACACTTTAGACTCTCAGGTTGGAAAACTGGGCTAGGAATATCAACGTACGGAAAATTAAATGGAACTTTGAAAACTTCCTGGAAAGAATTTTTTTATTCACACTTATCCAGAATAAGAGCCACCTTCAGAACACCGCAAATGGGTCGAGTTCCTCTTTATATGGTTGCTATTTCAAATGATAGACCTACATCGACGTCACCGTCTATTCGAAGGGTTTTGGTCATATAATAACCGATATTTTCCCACTGTTATTGAAGAATACCAATTCGAGAATATGTAGTTTTAAAAAATCGGTGCCACACAACTCGATCGAATTTGGCTCTATTGCAAGAGACATTTCCTGGACGCGTAATTTCTCGTCCTGGCGATATCTAGTGGCCAACAGTGTCATAGGATTGGGTAATGGTTTTAAACAACGCTGGTTGGGTATACGCTTAAGACCGCATTTATGCAGATAAACCTTCAACTTTTGAAAACACAACATTCGTCAAGTTATGTCGAAGCTAAAGCCCAATATTTGTCGACAAGTAGTCGAATATTACCTCGTAAGAATCAATGCTGGTCACTGTTCTCGTGGAGGTTATTTAAATTATGTAGTTCTTCACACATAATGTCAACATTCAATCTTAATAATAAACCAGTAAGGAAGGTAGTAAAGTCGGACTGGGCCGACTATATGAAACCCTTCTCCACATTGTGTATATTCTACATAGTCTCCTAACAGACGTCGCCTTTTCGAAAGAACATTGACATAAAATTAAACGAAAGATATATAAGAACTTTAGTGCACCATTTCTATTAAATCGGACGAAAATATATATGGAAGCTATATCTATATCTGAACCGATTTCCACGAAACTTAGCACACATCATTCTAGACTTAATTTAGTACGCTATGGCAAATTTCGTGCAAATCGAAATATATTTAGGGACTTTGGCGCACCATTTATCTTAAATCGGACGAAAAAAATATATGGGAGCTATATCTAATCTAAACCGATTTTTACCAATTTCAATAGGGTTCTTTCTTGGGCCAAATAAGTGACTTGTGCCAAATTTCATTCAAATCGAATCATAAATGCAACATGTACTTTGTTTACAATTTAACATCAACAGACGGACGGACATGCATAAATCGACTCAGATAGTGATTCTATGCATATTCTCTCGTTTCTTTATGCCTGTTACCTGTTGGCCTTTCCCTTCTTCGTGAACCATCAGCTGTTTTGATTGTATATGCCTTTCGAGCTGGGGTATCCTCATCCATGACCTAGCCAAAGTAGTCGCTGCTGCCCGATACGTCTAACTATATCGATGTCCGAGAATAGATGGTACAGCTCATAGTTCATTCGACTGCGATATCCATCGTCGACACAGATCGGCCCATAGATCTTCCGGATAATTGTTCTCTCAAACACTCCAAGAGTTGCCACATGTGCTTGTGCCAGTACCAATGCTTCAGATCTATACAACAGCACGGGTAGTAACTAGAGTTATCGTGCGGTTCACCCAAAATTTAAATTGTACAAAATTTAGTACACATTAGTAGAGTAACTTTCGGTAATGTGGACCACCATTTTCTTTTTTTGATATTGTGGGCGTACCAACGGTAAAATCTGAAAACAAATTGTTTTCACAACATAGTAGATTTGTTTGCTAAATATATTCCAGGTCAAAAATTATATATATTTGTCTATAAAAATGTTATTGCATTATATTTCAAAAAACTTTAATCTGCAAATAAAAATAACTTGGCGTGTAATGTGGACCAGTATGTGTGGGTAATGAGTATCAGTTAGTTAAAGGTAGGTTTTGGTTTGGTTCTGATTTTCTGATTTCAATTTATTACACACTTGGGTAACAATGAATGCAAAAATATATGGGTTCATGTTTTGGAATAGCCCCCATTTAAGGGTACCGCCCCATTTCCGGTATTCTGAAGGTCCTTGCTTCATTATCCAACCGAAGCACCTTTAATTTCGAATATCGAGTTTTCAGAGGATAGAATACCTCGTCGCATATTAAATTCACCCACGTTTCGAACTCGTCCTCATGAAAAGGTCCCACTTTTTTATAGTGGTCCACATTACCCGACATTGAATATTTTTATTTAGAAATAATTATTATTTAGAATAATTATCGATTGTAATTACAGCTAAACGTATATAACAAAGTATTCGACTATTTTGCAAAAACGTTCGACTATTGTGCTAAAAAATGTTCAAATAACACTTTTACAATCAGAGCTCCATTTTCTACTACTACATTTTCAACATTGCAATTATTTATTAAAAACCAATTTTGATATTTGTTTCCACTAATAAGGAATATATTTATCAAGGCGGCATTGACATTGTTGGCGTGATACCGGTTAAGGGGAGAAAAAACCCAAAAAGAAAAACAAAATAAACCAATTTTATATTAGAATATATTTTCAACTTTATTTGGCAAGTGGATTTGTTTCGAAAAGCAGCAAACTTTACCTTTAGGTGTGCGTGCGAGAAAGCAAGCTTAATCAACGAGAGCGAGTTTGCAAGTGATGTTGCGATGGGCAAGAAAGCTACAGCAAGGCCGTGATCAACAACTACGACCACAGCATTGGAAAGCGCCTCTCTGCATCCGAACTAAGCGAATGTGGCTTCCAGGAGATATAGTAGAAGAGAGCGAACTCTCCCCTACAATCCGAACTAGGCGAATGAGGCTCCTGGAAGATATGCAGAGAAGATTTCCCCATTGGGCTCCGAAGAGCGGCCAATTAAAGTGGTTAATTGTAATGCTGTAGAAGGGGAAACAATGTATCGAACATATACATTGCCGTAAGCAATGTATCGAACTTAAACAGACATATTTCAAGCATTTTCTTAGATAAGGGGGGTGGTCCATATGAATTTCCAGAACTTCCTACAAAGCCCAATTCTACATTCCAACAGTGACCCTACCATCAAATTTCAAGATTCCAGCTCTATCGGTTCACCCAAATCCAAATTTGGTACCATTTAGTACACATTAGTACGAATTTCCAAAACTTTATACATAGCTCAATACTACATACCAACAAAGATCCTTACTCCAAATTGCAGGATTCCAGCTCCATCAGTTCACACAAAATTCAAATTGTACCAAATTTAGTACAATTTAGTAACCATAAGTATGAATTTCCAAAACTACATCCATACCCCCAATCCTACACTCTAACAGTAACCTTATTTCCAAATTTCAAGGTGTCCGGTTCAATTGTTTCACTTAAAAGTTAAATTGTACCAAATTTAGTACACATTAGTACGAATTTCCAAAACTTTCCACAAAGCTCAATCCTACACCCCAAAAGTGATCCGAACGTCTAATTTCAAAATTTCAGCTCAATTGGTTTTCTCAAACCCACATTTGGTACCATTTATTACAAATTTCCAAAACTTCATCGCATCGGTTCACCCAAAATTTAAATTGTACACAATTTAGTTCACATTCGTGGTAATTTCCTAAATAGCTCAATTCTACCTCAACAATGATCCTAACTTCAAATGTAAAGCTTCCAGCACTATCAGTTCACCCAAATCCAAATTTGGTACCATATAGTACACATTAGTACGAATTTTCAAAATTCTCTACATACCATAATCCTACACCCCAACAGTTACGATCCTGACTCCAAATTGCATTGTTCTAGCTCTATCGGTTCACCCAAATCCAAATTGTACCAATTATAGTACGATTTAGTACTTTTCGTACACATAAGTAAAAAAATTCCAAAACTACTTATATATCCCAAACCGGTAATGCTAATTTAAATTTTCAGGATTCCAACTCGATTTGTACCTCCAAATTAAATTTGTACCGAATATAATACCATATAGTAATTTTCGTATACATAAGTACACGCTTCCAAAGCCAGCCAGCCTTATATCGACCCTCAACCTTATATCCTTATATCCGTTTTTAGCTCTTGCTACGAAATTGTACTAAATTTAGTACATATTAGTACTTTTCGCATACTTATAGTTCGAATGTCCAAAAAACCATTTGCTATCTCTATTCTACACTCCATCAATGACCCTCATTTTAAATTTAACAGTTTAAGCTCTACCGGTTTGCCAAATAAAAATGGTATCACATTTAGTAATTTCCTAAAACCCAGCCTTATTTGTTACCTTTGGACCAATGACCCTCACCCAAAATTTCCAGATTTTATCTTCAGCCGTTTCGTCAGAATCGTTAAATCAGTTAGTCAATTACTTTACTCTTTTATTAGTATAGATTATTTAATGCTCATATATATTTTTAATTTGTCTTTTATTTTTCATTCCAGATTTTTATGAATTATATATGATCGAATTTCCGTATGATGACAAGCGAAAATGATATACAAATTATTTGAAAATATGGCAGGCCCGCTGTCAACGATCAATATATATTTTGGAATTATCCTCATTTTTCAATCATAAAATTCCACAAGGAAGGATTACAATAGAATCTAGTCCAAATAAGTGTGCTAAGTTGTTAAGAAATTTATTCCTTAAAATTTATATTTAATATATTTTTTAAATGTATGTATATATTTTTTACAAAGAATATTGAATAAAAAATAAAGAATAATTAATTTACTAAAAATACTATTCGTGTTTATTTACGGATACAACAAATATGGTAATACATGTCCCTAC